AGCCTGCCAGGCGCCCATGGCCACCCCAGCCGTGGGTGACATGGTGGGTGGCTCCACAGGGCCACACTGGCTGTGCAGGTAGGAGAAGGCTTTTTGGGCTGACGTCTGCAGGCTGTTCTTCTGTCCGGAGGAGATGGAGGGGTACAGGTGCACCAGGGTCTTGGGCTGCTCCGCTCCCAGGAGGGAAGGGACTGTCGGGGATTTCAAGGAGACGTGCGGGTACATGAAGACGTACGGGGCTGTCGCCTTGCTGGGGGTCTGGGGAGGGGTACACGGGGTGACTGCCGGTGTCCCGGCACCTTTCTGAGCCACTGGCCGGGCATACTGATCTGTGCCTTCGGGCAGGTTCCTCTCCTTGAGAGGGCTGCCCCCGCTGCCATTGGCATAGCCATTCAGCCCCTCGGGAGAGATGAGCTTCCCATAGGGCTCAGGACTGGGCCGTCCTGGCAGGCTGGCTGGGCTCTCCTTGCTGCAGGGCGGCACGCAGGACTGCCCGCTGCTGCTGCTGCTCTCCCCACTGCCCAGGCTCTCCTGTGAGGGGCTGGAGAGGTGCAGGGACAGCACATTGTCCTGTGAGTGCCCCGAGCCCCGGGACCGCACTCCAATGCTCTCCTGGCTCCGCGACATCCCCTGGCTGCTCTTGATGCCAAGCGTCTCATGGCAGCTGTTGGACATGGCTGTGTGGAGCTCGTAGCTGAGCTCACTGTCCTGGAAGGTCGTCATTTTGGGGGTGTGCGGGGACTGGCACTCCCCATTCTCCAGCGACTCAATGGTGACGATGTCCAGGGCACCGGGGACTTTGCGTCTTGCCAGAGTTGCTTCTGCTTGGTTGAGGCTTTTGCGGAGGTCTCTGAGCTTCTTGACAGCCAGCATGATCTTCTTCTGGTGGCCTGCAGGAAGGTTGCAACAGGAAAGGGGCATTAGGTCGGTTCCAGCCCCCAAGGCCTTTGTTTCCTAGCCAAGAAGAGCTGCGGTCACGTCACCAACCGGGGCAAAGGCCTCCAGGTTTACTCAAACCCTGCCTATGGGAGGAGACAAACTACGGCTGGTGTCCACCTGGCTCGGCCCAGCTCCAGCCTGCCAAGGGGGGTCTTTAGGGACAACCATGAACCGCCCTTTCCGAATGCACAGGATGTCCCTGCACCTTCCAGCCCAAGGGAGAACAGGGCGTGAGGACCTGGGTGGGAAACTTGGCTGCCCTGGACCACACCAGCACAGTGGCAGGGACCCACCCAGCTTGTTGATGCCAATCTCTTGCAGATCCTCCCATGTCAGGTCCGTCACAATGGTGATGGAATCGTAGCCGTTGTTCACCAGCTTTTTGTGGTACTGGGGCAACCCAATGGCACTGAGCCAGTCCATCAAGTCAGCCTGTGAAGAGCACAGAGACAATGCTGTTGAGCATCAAGGGATAGGCAGCACCTTCATCCATCCCCTCTCTGCCCCTAGCCAGGAGACTGTGGTTTGGGGGTGTCTCTGGCTGCAGTAACGCAGGCCATTGCAGCATGCGTTCACTTAAAGACCCCCATCGTGTCCCGTCCTGGGGGAAGGTGCCTCTGAGAAAAGACCTGGGGAAAAGAGGGTGCCGGACCGAAGCCCTGGCGCCAGGGACTCACCGGGATATAGTTGGGCAGCCACTCAGCAATGCTGAGCTGCCCGATCTCAGTGGAGATCTTCTTCCTGTGGCCTGGTTTGGTCACACCAATGGCTGTCAGATCCTATCACGAGCAGAGTGGGGCTGTGGTTAGCAGTGGCACGGGGAGCGTGGGGCAGTGGATACCCACTGCCAGCAGCTCTGGGGGGTGCTGGCCAGGGGGGGAAGGACCTGCCTTACCTCTGGGGTCATGCGGCTGATAGTGGGGACATCATAGCCAGCATTGAGGAAGTTGGTGGTGTACGACTCCAGCTGGAATTCACTCAGCCAGTTGTAAATGGCTTCTGCGTCCTGGGGAGAGGACGGGGCAAAGAGCAGCCCATGATGGTGGCTGCAGGGGCTGGAAGGACCTGGCTGCTCCAGGCAAGATGACAGGACCTCCTTGGGCAAGACCCACCTGTCCCCACCATCCCCAAGATCCAGTCCCCTGTGTCCCCAGTGCAGCAAGAGCCGGGCTGAGAACCCCAAATATGGCCCTCCCACCCGGCACACCAGGTTCCCCAGTTGGCCCGGTTACCTTCCCCTCGAGGAGCTGCTCAGGCCGCAAGAACTGGTGGGAGAAGACTCTGTCTCCAGGGGGGCAGCTGCCTGGGGTCTGGTGGCCCTGTGGCCCTGGCAGAGAGGAGAAAGGAGAATGGTCACGGGGGCACTTGGGCAGTGAGCAGCCCCCAGGGCCAGGGGGACAGCTGTCCTCAAGACCCCACGGTTTTAGGACATCGCTCACCTGCTGTGGACGTCAACTGCACATTGTGTGGCTCCGATCCCAAAAGGTGTTGTTGGAGGTCATCGCTGGCAGAGGGCAGCGGCTGTGAGAGAAGAGGAGTGAGTGGAGCAGGGACCTCCCTCCCTGTCCCCCCAAGTGGGTGCCAGGGTCTGCCTTGCATCCCCAGGAGTCAGGCAGGGGTCCCCACACTGGGCCACCAGGCACAGCTTCACCTAGTGAAGGGCTGTCCCCTTGCAAGAGATCTTGGCAGGATTTGGCCCAGAGCCCTTTTTATCCTCTCAGGTAACACAGGACACAGTGGACATGCTGTGTGGTATCAACCACAGCCTCCAGCCCTGCTCGAAAGGGCCAGCTGTGTTGTGGGGGACAACCAGGGACCTCCCAGGAGCATCTCCCCACTGAGTCCCAGCAGTGAATGTGTGTTTCGTGGAGGATGCTCAGCTCCTGCAGCCTCCCCTTCACTAGGAGGTGCAGGGGGTGACAGGGAAGGTGCTGGGGCTCCATCTCCAGCCCAAGCCAGCCCGGGGCAGGCCTCAGGGAGCAGCACAGGGGGGAGTGGGGGCTGGCGCCTACCCTGGTGTTCTCGATGAGGATGTTGGTGCTCTGTCCGTTGGTGCCCTCGGTGCTCTGGCCGCTGCCGGCACTGCGGATGCTGCCAATGCTGCCCTCGCTGCCCACACTGTTCCTGTCTCCTGCTGCTCAGGGCAGGTGGGGAGGCTGTCAGCAGCGCCCCGGGATCGGAGCTGACACAGGGCGCAGAGATCCCCGGCAGGGACCCGCGTGCCAATGCAGTGATGCCAGTAAAAACCAGCCTCCCACAAGATCCCTCCAGCCACTGACAATGCATCAGTCCCTCCCGCTTCCCAGCACGCATGGCACGGACAGGGTGACCTGGGCTGGCAAGGGATGCAAGAAGGGGAGGGACATAGGGACACGGCCTGGCTGAGGACACGGGGAGGGAAGGGGCTGCTCTACAGGCTCCCCTAAACTCCCTTTCCCTGCACCTGCTCCCTCTCATCTGGCTGTTTCCCCGCTGGGAGGTGGAAGGAGAGTCTCCCCCTGTGTCCCCCTGTACAGGCAGGTCTAGGAACAGGAGAAGGTCCCCAGCCCCTCTCCCTCCCCAGTTGCACCCCTGACCTGAGCTGTCAGGGCCTGGGGCCGTCCGGGTTAGGGTGAGGTGGTCATAGGCTGCTGGGATGCTCGGGGCTGCCTGGTGAGGAGACTCGTCGGGGAGGTGCTGCAGCCCGCCGGGGGGGGCCGGGAGGGCCCCAGGGGGACCCTGGTGCTGGTGCATGGGCGCCACGCGGGGGACAATCACGCCTGCATTCAAAAACAAAACACGCGTGGTCAGAGCTCATGCAGGAAGCAGTGTGGGGGGGAATATCTGAGCCTCAACCCCCAAATCACCACCCCACCGATGATGCAACCCCCTGTGGCACCCTAAGTCATTCTCTTTCCCCATAGCTAGCCAGGGCTGCGGGGACCTGTCCTACAGGAGGTGCCAGGAAAGCCGGGATGGTTTCACACAGGGACTGTCCCTAGCATGCCCAGGACAGCCACTGACCTGTTCGCTTGCTGATGACTTCAGCGATGGAGGGGGGGAAGTACCCGACCCGATCGGTGCCTTTCTGAGCATCATGGATGTGCCCCTTCCATCGCCCATCTGGATGCTGCTCCAGGACCTGCGGTGGGGACGAGAGGGATGGCGTTGGTACCTGGGGCCATGGCAGGGCAGGGGGATGGGGAGCAGGGAGTGGCCTCACTGTGATGACGTCTCCTGCCCGGACGTTGAGAGCAGTCGGGTCGTGGAGGTTCCAAAAATCCTTCAAAGCTCGGACCTTCAGGATTCCTGATGCCTCTGAAGACAAGGGACGGAGGAAAGAAAGAAGGTGCCAGAGTGCAAGGGGAAGGAGAGCAGTTCGGGGAAGGTGGAAGGAGAAAACAAGAGTGAGGAGAGGGGAGAAGAGAACATTAATACTGCAGGAAGGACTCAATCCCTGGACATTGCCCGCATGGAGAATGGGGGCACACCTGATGGGACTGGGATGCTGACGCTCACAGCCAGACCAGTTTAGGCTGTTCAGGAGGAGCACTGGGAGCCCCAGGCAGGTCCCGTGGGGAAGAAGCCCCTCTCAGTGCCAGGCAGTGCCTGGCCACGCGCTGGTCCCACCTCACCTCTCAGCAGCTGCTTGATGTCCTTGCTGGCGTGAGAGGTGGTGAACTGGTTCACGATGTCCAGTGCCGTCTGGTTGTAGGTGTTCCTGATGTTCACGTCAACACCACCCTGCCCAGGAAGGAACATGGTCAGGGACAGACCCCGCAGCTGCCATCGGACCCACAGGGGACGGAGGGACCGAGGGGAAGGGGGTGATGGCCGACACCCAGGGGCTTGTTGCCCCGTGCAGCCCTGTCCTCACTGCGCTCACCTCCAGCAGCAAGCGCACCACATCCGTTTTGCCATAGAGCGCGGCCTCGTGCAGGGCTGTGCCCGTCTTTGTCTGCTTGTTGATCTCGATCCCGGCCTTCAGCAGCTGCCTGGCAGGACGGAGGGAGAGGCATGAATGGGAGGACATGGATATCAGGGCCAGGTGACTGGCTGCTTTGCAATGGGAAGGGGACAACCCCTTGCACCACTGAGGCTTTGGGGACAAGGGACCGAAGCCCGCAGCAGGGAGGTGGGTTTGGGAGGAAGCAGGGCTGAAGCTATGATGGGTTTTTTTGGGATAGGGCAGTGCCCCAAGCTGGCAGGGGGTTACCTGATGATCTCCTTGTGCCCATTCTTGGCTGCCAGGTGCAGCGGGGTGGTGTAGTTGGGGTCGGTGGCATCCTTGGACTGTCCTTCCAGGAGGGCGACACACAGATGGCTGTTCAGCAGCAGCTGGGCCACCTGCACAGAGCACTGAGGTGAGCAGCAGGATGCAGGTAACCCCACCTTCACCCTCCCAGCAAGGAGCTTGCCCTCAGGGCCAGCCCTCTGCTCCCCATCCCACCACTCCCCTCCATCCACAGCCCCAGGGCTCGGCTGGAGCTGGACGGTGCTTGGGAGGGCCACACTGTCGCAAGGGGCACAACAGCCAGAAATAGCCTTCCCATAATTGGGCTTTTCAGACCAAGCCCTAAAAAGCTCCAGTCTCTCCAAGCCCAGAGCAACTCTCAGTGTCTCAGGGCAGCCCAAAGGAGTTATTTTTACTGCCCTGTTTATAGCTGTAGACATTATAGATACTCCAAAAATGGAAATATCCCCCCAGTCCCCTCCCTGGTGGGGCACAGGACAGTCTGGCTGGCCATGCTCCAGCCTAGTCCTGCAATGTGGTGCTGGCTTGGCTGGGGTCTCCCGGAGCACAGGGTGGCCCTGTCCCCACGAGCCATGCCAGGGATCTCGAGCAGCTGAGCAGGGCCAGGCGCTCAGGTCTTGCAGGGATTAGCCAGCTCAGCCTATCTGTGCTTAAAACGGGAGTGAAGCTGGGGCCAGTGGGGGAACGAGGACTCCTGGCTTCTCTCCCAGCCTGACGCTGCCCTGCTGCAAGGTCGAGAACAAAACCCTCAGCTCCTGGGTTCAGGATCCAGCCTTGCCTGGCCACAGGAGGAGGCAGGTGCTGCCTGCCAGGCTCCAAGGCTCATGGCGGAGGGAGAGCGGTTGTGGTGGGACCCAGCGCTTTGCCCCCAGAGGAGCCAGCTGGCTCCAGAGCCACCCCCGGAAAAGTGCCCAGTGCAGGGCAGAGCCCTGCAGCACTTACCTTCAGCCGCCCAAACTCACAGGCCAGGTCCAGGGGAGTTTTCTTCGCCTTGTTGATGAGGCAGGGGTTGGACTGGTGCTGGAGCAGCATCTCTGACTGTGGGGGAGCAGCATGGTACGGGGCTTAGCATCATCCCACACCCCTGTCTCCCTCCCACCCGGCACAATGGGGTTTGCCCCCACCCACACACCCCCAGAGAGACCTGGGGTGTGTGCGTGGGTGGCGCTGGGCTCTGACTTACCACCTCATAGTGGCCGTACTGTGCCGAGAGGTGCAGCGGGATCTGACCGTCCAGTGAAGCCATGTTGACGGAGGCAGCAGCACGCAGCAGCACCCGCACCGGCTCCACACGCCCCTGCCAGGCCGCATAGTGCAGGGGGCGCATCCCTGCAGGGGAACAGGGCTCAGCAGGCCTGGATGCGGCCCCCAGCCTCGCTCGGAGGGCTGAGCTGGCTGCCGGAAACACGGGGCCATGCCGGGGGGGGGGTCACCCCTTACCGTTGCTGTCCTTGATGTCGACAGTGGCCTGTGCTTCCAGCAGCAGTGAGATGAGGTCCAGGCTGCCGCCCAGGGCCGCATGGTGCAGCGCCGAGAACCTGCAACACAAGGCAGGGCTCAGCCCAGCCCCAGTTCCTGCCATGCTGTCCCTACAGCCGTTGCCTGCACGGGGACACGGGCTGAGGGCCAGGACGGTCACCGGCTGTTCATGACTATGTCCCTCCTGATTCCCTGTTCCCAGTGCCTCGATTTCCCCATAGCAAAGCAGAGATAAATCCCTCCATGCTGTCCATGCCCCAGGGCTCAGTGAGGGAAGCAGGGACCCTGTGCACACTCTGAGACCCCAGCGAGAGGGGTCCATCACCCCCCTGCCCTGTGAGGGGGGCAAGCAGGCAGGATGGAGAGAGATGCATCTCCCCTCTCTGTGGTGCAGCTAGGCAGCCCGAAGCCACGCTGCTAACAGCATCTGGCAAACTCACTGGCCCCATGGCTACTCCTGGCCCCTCTACCAGCCACCCCCTCTCTGTGCCAGCAGGGATGCTGGGAACCCACGGCACAGTGTGGGAGGCCGCCGGTAATGAAAGAGCCCTGTGTCTCAGGGCTGGGAAAGGGGCCTGTCTGCCCAGCGTCCCCCCCCCATGCTGTCACATGAAGGGCCACAGCCGAGTGAAGGGTCCCTGCACTGCTGGGAATTCGCCCGTGTGCTGCTCCAAGGGGTGCAGGGAGCTCCAGACAGTGCCAGCCCGGGGCTCTGATGGACTCAGCAGTGTCCCAGCCCCATGCTGGGGATGCAGCCCAGCTGACACAGCTCTCCTCCCAACCCACAGTCCCAGGGCACCCCCAAATCCCCGCACAGGATCTCTAGGCATCGCAGGAGGGATGCTGCTCCCTCCTTCAGTGCAGCCACCATGTCCCTTAGCCCACGCCAAAACCTCTACCTTGAAGCGAGAATGCAGGTGATACAAAATCCCCTTAAGCCAACCCTGCAGGGATCCTTGCGGGGCCAGCTCTGCCCTGGAGGCACCTACACAAACCCACACTTGCCCGCTGCATCATCTCCAAGTTGCAAGCAAGGCGATGCCGAGGACACCACCAGTGGCATGGCTCTCCCAGGAGGGTGCACGCTGCCATCTCTGTGCATGGGTCTCACCTCCCCACCATCCCCTTCCTACGCCCCAGTAAAACCTAACATGCCACTTGCACTGTTAATACCCTGCACACTGCATATGGCCCTCTGGTGAGGAACAGACCCTTTACCCACGTTCCCATGAGCAGCCCTCCTGGAGCAGCCTGAGCACAAGCCCCCGTGCTTTATCAGAATCAGATCATTGCTTCTATTATTACTTTTTTTTTTTTTCTATTAAGCTCCATCTGCACAGTATTATTTTTTAAGACAGAGCCATCCTGCACATTTTCAACCCCCCGCTGGCCTGTTAGGACTCATCATGGACACCTCCTCCTACAGAGTCCTTGAAAAGAAAACATGTAGAAATTAGGTACAACAACAGTACGTAAAACAATGCTAATAACTCATGGGTCAGAGTTAATTCAATAAGAATAACATGTTTATTTATTTTATGTGCCTTTGTGGTTTCTTTAAGTCTCAGTACCCAGCTTATTAAGTGCTTGGATTTTGGAAGTGATGAGCTACACAAACATGCTGTGGTCACTTGGCAACCTCATCTTTTCTTTCTCTGCCCCCCCAAATGAAGGGATTTTGCTCTTGGGATATTAAACACAGACACAAGCACATGCAGGCGCTGTGGCCAGCTGGGTGCTCCTCTGTGCTTCAACCAGCACCACGGGGCACTGGCTAGACACGCTGTGATCCCTTTTCACCCCCAGTCCTACAGAGGGGGACGCAGAAGAGCTTTACAAAGGATTTTGCAGGATGGATTGAGCACAGCCCTCAGCTAAGATCCAGGCAGGTGTTGGGTCTGCCTCTGCAGAGCTTGCCCTGGTTTTGGGACATGGCACCCTCTCAGGATGCTGACGCATTCTCTGGGGCTCAGCAGCTACCCTCGAAAGCTTTATGATACCCAGAGCTGCAGAACCAACTGGATATCGGTTAGAACAAGCCCACCTACGCTGGTAGTAGCAGCACCCAGCACCCTATCCAGGGAACACTCACCCGTCCGCATCCTGGTAGTTCACATTCAGGCGCTTGGCAGATCCCAGGAGCTCTGCAGAGAGAAGAGGCAAAGGTCAGGGCAGGAGGCAAAGCCCACACGGTCCCCAGGACCCCAAGTGAACCCCATCCCACAGCCACACCGACCTCCCAGCGCACAGAACAGCGCCTGGCCCATCCCAGTAGCCTCGCCTCTCCTCTCACTCCACGTTCACCTCCACGAACCCTCAACAGGCTGACCCAGCTCAAGCTCAGACCCTTTCCTCCCTCCATCCCTCCTGCCCCATCTCTGCGTGCCCCTGGGACGGGTCGGACCCTGCAGCTCCTGTCACCCCAGCTTGGCAGGATGGTGCTTCTCTCCCCTTTATAGGCAGCAACACCCCAAGACTGCTGAGCAGGGCTGTTTCTCCCCCCACTTGCTCCCTGTGCCTGCTGCTGCCACCGAGGCCTGGCCCACAGACCACATGGCTGGCATTTTTATGGCCGGGGCAGAGGCTGAAGCCTCCAGCCGTGAATGCGAGGATTGTGCCACCTCAGATATCCCCGTTCCCCCACACATCCCTCCCTCCCCTTCGGAGACCACTGAGTGGCAGAGGATGCTCACCCCACCCTCGGCACAGCCTCATGCACGCCCTCAGCTCCCCACTCCTTCCCGCAATTAATTCGAATGAATTCCTTCCTCCCACACAGGGACGACATTTTATTCTTCACCGAAGGGTTGAGAGTGGATTAACATCTCTGGAATTCATCCACCAAGTCAAAAGGGAAAGAAAGGGGAAGGTATGTGGGGGGCAAGAAATGCCGCCGCTCCTCCTCTGCCTTTCCAGGCAGCCCCATTGCTGAGCTGGGGAGGATTAAATGCTTTGAAAAGTTTCTGTACTGTTTCCTATGGAAAATCAAAGTCTGAGACCCGGGCTCCAAGCCTGGAGTAAAACAGCTGCTCAAACCCCACTGAAACATGGTGGGGTCCTGAGGAAGGAGCCCCCTCCCTCGCTGCCAGGCCAATCTCTGGGGCTGCAGCTCTCTCCTCTCTCTCTCTCTCTCTCCCCTCCTCCATTGCCTTGCCTTGCCTTGCCTTTCTTTTCCATGGTCTTCTCCTCTCCATTCCCTTCTCTTTTCCTCCTCTCCCAAGCTCTCTGCCCAACTCACGTGGCAGATCCCATACAAAGCTGCATGACCGCTCTGCCGGAAAGGAGAGCTGAAGAGGGGGGCAGCTCATTCATCATGCAAATGGATAATTAAAGAAAACCAAGGAATGGTGTGTTCATTACTGCAATTTACTGTTTTGTAAACAGCCTAATTAATGCAAAATGGGCTTGGAGTGGCTCCTGGTGAAGGACTCATGACTGGTCACCACAGCTGAGCAGATCAGGATGGGATCACTCTAATTAGCTCTTCCAGGGGCTGTTCATCTTCAGTGAGCAGCTCTGCCAACCCGAAAGCCCTTCCCAAAGGAACTGGCTCCCAAAGCCATCACTCAGCAGAGCTCCTGCTTTTCCCTTCCAGCCCTGTATCACCTGAGAGCCCAGGATAGGATCCGGGGTCTCCATCAAGGACAAGCTGCTTCCCTTGGCCCCGCCGGCCACGAAAAAATAACATTTCACTTGTGAACCAGCCACTTCTGACCCGAGTCATGGAGTGACCATAACCAGAGCCCCACGGTGCCTCTTTCACAGAGCCAGGATTGCGCTTGGGGTGTACAGCAGAGCCAGGACTGCAGTCGGCTGTGGTGGGCAAAGGCCTCATCCTGCCCCTCTGAAAGTCTTGGGATGGATCCTGCAAGCAGGGAGCAGGAAGGGCTGGGAAGTGTTCGCTGCTGGGGGATTTCCAAAGGACGCAACTGAGATAAAATTAAAAATAAACAAAGGATTCCACTAAGCTGTAGGCAATGCCCTTGAAACTATCACATCCCATTCCCTGAGCGATCCCCCAGCCCCCCTGCCTTTTAATCGGGGTTTTTAAAGGATGTTCTGTGTGGTGGGAACTGAAGGCCAATGTGGGTTTGCGCCCATCAGCTGCAGCTGAAAATTGCCATGGGGTTTTGCTGCTGAGACGGGGCGGGGGGTGTGAGGGGGTGTCCTTACCCACGGCAGGAGGGGCAGAACCTGAACCGCACAAGCCGGGCGGCAGAGCGGAGCCAAGCGGGCGGTGCCGGGAAAAGAAGGGCTGGATGGAGATGCCCACTGAGCACAAGTACAACTGAAAGAGGCAGAAACATCCCACAGGGGCCGGGGGCTGGTTCTGGAGTTGAGCAATGCCCACTATTTGAAGAGGGAGAGCTCACCCCAAAATCCCATCCCTGACCTCCTCCTACAAGGGGACCGGGCTAGCCTGTGGGGTCCAGTAAGCAGGGCTGGGATGCAGTAGGCGTCCCAGGACATGGCATTTGTCCCTGTCCGCTCCCAGGAGGCAGCTGTCAGCATCTGCACAGCAAAATGCCTGTGTCCTTGCTCCTTTCCTGAGCAACATTCCTCAAATTAGTTCCCTGCTCCGGAAGCCCAGCAAGGTCAGGACACGGGGCAGGAGACCACACGGACACGGCATGGGTGGCTGGGAAAGCAGCAGGTCCCAAAAAGTGGAGTTGGGAGCAGCATCCCCTTTGGCGCTCTTCCCGAATGTCAATGCAATAATGCTTGTATCCACCTCGGGCAGGAAG